TTTTTCATCTTTTTCAACTAGCCTTTAATGAAATTTTACCCTCAATAATTTTACAAATCATACTCTTTCCATCATCAATACCAAAAAATACTTATACTATTTTTGACATCCTTCCTATTAACCCACCTATGTCTACTATCAATAGTCTTAGAAATAATAAAATTATCTTTTTAGAACAAATTACAATTGCAAATAACAAAAATATTTTTATATAAAACAATATCTACTTACATACAAACAAATCTAATAAAGGTTGCTAACCAAAATGGTTTACTTAAATTTTACATCTAAACCAATTTAATACTATAACCTAAACTTGGCCTCATATAAATCTTCCTTCTATCAATACCTTTCTAAATACAATTAAACTAATATCACCACCTTCATCCTTAAACTCTTACTACTTTTATCATATATATTATATAAATAATCAAACACTATATATTTTCCAACAAACCTCTCTACAACAATCATTATTTTTTGAAATTTCTATGTTTATTTTAGAATTCTCTCAATTACTACCAACTACCAACTACCCAATACCAAATTCTTATTTATTTTTCCTATCTTATAACTCAGCCATTAAATCAAAAGATTCAATAATCATCCAAATTGATTTTAAAGAAATCTTAGCTCTAACTCAAATACACAGCATCACTATTATCCAATCAACTCCATTAATACAACTACAAATAATTCTTTTATCATATGAAGCTCAACTTATTCAACAATTTATCAACACATCATTATATTAAAAGCAACTAATCAATCTAAATCACCTTATCTTCCAACTTAACACAGATAAACTACACTTCTATACTAATGGATCAATCAAAAATTTACAAACTTCAGAAACCAAATATGTTATAGAATGTTTTATAAATATGATACATCTATAAAATTTAATGCAACTTTACAATTCTACCCTGACTCAACCTACATTGAACTCAAAGTAATTCTCATTCACTTACTCGTAGTTCTTTCTAATATTCTTTTAAATATTTATATTGATAATACAATTGCAATCAAAAACCTCAACTCAGCTACCAACGCAAACCTATACAAACTAAAAACTGGGATATTATCACTATATTAACTATCTTAAACAACTCAAATCATTATTACTACTCTTCATAAAGTAAAATCACATTCTACAGACTCTTTTCACAACCAAGCAGATTCATTTGCTAAATAAGGAACTACAAAACATATTCTCAAAATTAACAACTCAAAATTTAATACTCCAAACCATTTCATATGAAATAACTATCTAATCTCTATCAAAGTTTATATCTTTATCAAAAACTCTATAACTATTCAAGAAATTGTCAAATGATCAAACTTAAAATTCTTACAAAATATCACAAACATTAAATGATCATTAAAATTTAAAATCATCTCCTCTCTTGAAAATAACTTACAAAAATACTCCTTTCATATCAAAATTCTTACTAATAATCTACCTACTATGCAAAATCGTAATATCTGTTACCCATACCTCTATACTACTCCAAACTGTTCTTATTGTACAAATATTGAAGATACTCTTCATTTATTTTTATGTCCAAACAACACTACAAACATTCTACAATCAATCAAAAATACAATACAAGATACTCTAATATTACTAAAAATTACCAATATAACCTCAATAACCTTATTCAACATTCTTCTAAATTTTATATTTAACACACCAAATTCTCAATTCAAACATATTTTATATATTATTACAGGAACCTTCTCTTCCACTATTTATGAAAATATCAAAACACTTATTAATAAACAAACTAATGTTCTTCTATTCCAGCTCTTAAATAATCTATTAAACTGGTTTCATTAAGATCTCTGGTCTATTTGTAACATATATCAACATCAATGGAAAATATCTCAAAACATTACATCAAAATCTAAATGCACTAAAATTTACTTACCAACATCACCAAATCCTTCAAAAAATATAACAATCTCTTCTCAAATTATAAATATTAATTCTTTTATCTTCAAATGACTTACACAAGATTTTTCACTAACTTCTTATATTTAATAATGTTCAAACAATTACTTAAAGATCTTCTTTAACCTATTCTAGCTAGAACCTAATTTGAAATAGTTAGCTATAGTATTCACAGAAAATAGGAGATGTAATGTTATATTGGGTGCTAATTCATAGCACAAATGTAGTTTAGAAATCTTTAATTTTAGAACTTATGATTCTATATGTAAAAAATTTTTACTTAAACATTATATTATTAAAAAAAAAAAAAAAAAAAAAGGTATATAAGGCTCTGCAAATGCCCATGCCAAGCAAATTGGCACTATGCCAGGTACTAGTACCTCATGCCATGCCCATATCTATAGGCTCAAAAGTGCCAGGAATTATTATAGGCATGGGTACAAATGCCAGGCATTTTTATAATCATGGGCACAAATGCCATATACTTTATAGGCATAGGCACAATATACTAGGCAAAAAGATGCCAAAAAGTGCCAAGCACAAGTGCCAAATAGTACTAAACATATAATTAATTAATAAATAAAAAATTTTTGTGCTCATGCTCATGCCCATGCCAAGTTTTTGTGCTTGTGCCCATGTCTATGCCAAATTTTTGTGTCTGTGGCCATGTCTATGCCATATTTTTATATTAGCATTTATGCCTATGCCAAAGCTTTCATGTTTATGCTCATGCCTAAATTTTTGTTAGGCATAGGCACGAGCCCAGGTTGCAGACCCCTAAAGGTATATATAAGTTTATTATGTCATGTTAAATATTTCTAAAATCATATAATTAACATACTTATTACTATTAAAAATAAATCACATACTACAAACCAATTAAATTAAAGAATTTTAATGATCACTAATGAAACAATATAAGAAAGAAAACAAAAAACATAAAAAATAACAGTTTAAACTTACTTCAGATAAATTAAGTAAAAATGTTAAAGAAGACAATTTTGCATATCCCTTGGATTGTTAGGGTTCACAGGCAAATTTGCCTGCGTAATTTCAACTTTTTTATGTCTTATTAATTTTTTTAATTTTATTATTAATATACTAATTTTTTTAATTTTTAGATAATTTACTAGTCAAATATAGTTTATATTTCTTAAATTTGTTTTTTTTTTTATAATTAAAGGTTCGTATTCATTTAGTTAAAAATACATGATTTTTTAAATTTTGTAAAATTTTTTCCTTACATTCTACCTTGCAAATTATTTTAAATATTGAATGTATTAATATATATCTTAGACCAAAATTAAAGTTTTAATTATGTTTCACAACTTTAATTATTAATAACATATGACTTGTTTATCAAGTTGGCAAATTTGTACCAATACATAATATGCGTACAATTACGCTTACTTTTAGAAATTCTGTACATTATTCGAGATATGTTACTTCGCCTTTCACAACTTTTTTTATATACAGTACCACCAGTTCATTCACTCTCTTCAGTTTATTCGTTCACCCTCTTCAGTATAGTGGGCAACCCAACATTACTACTACACAATACGCAAAGAAGCTTGCAAGATTAGCAGAATTAAACATCAGAATGATCAGCCCTTTTGTTGCTGTAAAAAAAAAAAAAAAAAAAAAAGGCAGAGTTCCCTGTACCAGGCTTTGAACATGGTGGCCATTCCGGATTCCTATTATATTTTACCTTTCTTAGCAATGATGGAGGTATTAGCGACATCGAGTTGGTCAATTAGTGGAACTACCTGTAAGTAATTATCATTTTTTTTTAAAAAAAAATTTTTTTTTTTTTATATATCACGAATTAGCCTTCATGTAATCTAGGTATGTGACTTTACACCTCTTTGCTTTTACTTATTGACAATCAATACATTAATAACTTTTGAACATATTTGGGTGATTATAGTGATCTCTATAAGAGAAGAATAAAAATGGTATAATCCTGGCTCCGCAACTATTGAGGTGCTTTCTGGGTCAACAATATGTGAAATAAATACAGCATGAAGGTGGTAAATTTCACATTATGTCTTTGCACTATGTAATTACTTCTTTATAATTACCAATATATATTAACAATAAATTGCATATTGATAATGATGTAAATTCATAAATAATCAAAGGCAGTCAGAGCTGGCTTTGCTTAAAATAGTTAGAAAGCAAATGATAGATTCAATTCAAAAATGACGTTCATTCTTATTGTAAATAACACCTGGGGAATGAAAAAAAAACATTTAGATGATCCTATTTATTCAAAAATTCTCATACTGTTTACAACAAAGTCTTATAAATCGCTCTTAGGATGTTTGAAAATAGAATAGTGATTATTTTTTTTATGACCGGGCTATTTTAAGTTGTCAATTGCGAGTATCACTAATCAAAATTTGGGTATATGTATTACTAAAGAACATATAGGTCTTTTTATTTAAGAAAAATTTTTTACCTAAAAATATAATGTAAATTATAGGATCGTTATTTACCTGATGTAAAATTTTAAACTCATATTTCAAAAAAAAAAAAAAAAAAAGACATCAAAATATAAAATAAAGTATATCATATGATTATTTGAAGTAGTAATTCTGATATGTACTACTAATACGATGTATTTTTTTTTTCTTTTTATTGTGTGTTAATGAATACCCAGATCTTTCAAGAATTATTAACAAGGTAAATTTTTTGAAACTGTGAATAATATTCAAACACCTTCTTTATGTCTTTTTCAACTCTGAATCCTTCATTGTAGCAATATCCAACATTAATTATTCCTTTATTATTACCTATTTCTGCAGAGTTTTTATAATATTCAAATGCCTTCTTTACGTCCTTTTCGACTCCAATTCCCTTTTCATAGCAATATCTAATGAACATGCGATTCAGCATATTACTCTGAATTGGTATGAAAATCCTTAAAGCAATTTGGCTGAGTTTTGTTGCAACACAACAATACACTACATTCGCTACACCAAATTTGTGATTGTGGAGGATTTTGTTGATATGTTTCATTATTTTTTTTGAAAAGATATCTACATCACAAACATGCACCTCTATCACTTTCTCTGTATTCAGGATAATGACTATTACCAACTAATCTACATAGTGGCAATTCAAAGTTTGCAGAAACACGAAACTTTTTGTTGACATTGGTGTTATCTTTTTCAATTATTTGTACATTGTTGTCTCCACTTTGGGTTGTTCTTTTTAGAGGGTTTAAAAAATTTTTAATTAAATCTCGTATTAATGCAAGTCTAAATGCTTTATGTTCTTCTGCTATATTTAATTTTTTACAAATTAAATATGAATTTATAATAGCAGTGTCTAGTAACCAGAAGAATAAAGGTACCCATACTCTAAAAACGGTCAATTGAGTTGAATAATAACTTCTTAATTGGTCTGCAATATCAACTCCACCCATATAGTAATTATAATCATCAATTGCAACTAGAATAGGTATAACTTTTCGAACTTCATCACCAAATACTGATCTAATATTTTTATAGTTTGTACTGGTTTCATGTAGCTTTCTACGATTTTTTTTAATTTTACTATCTTGTCCATCAATTTTGTATATGATTGTAAGCATCGTAACAGGACTGTTGTCAATCCATAAAAAGCTTAATACATCATCGACTACTACTCCTATTAAGTAATCCCACTCCAAATTTTTTTTTCTTTTTCTTGTTTTAAAATTACAGGAAACCTTGTAGTATTTGTTCTTATAGTTCCACAAGCTCCAAATCCTTTTTCACGAAGAAATTGATATAAATTTATACTTGAAAAAAAGTTGTCCATATAAATATTAAAAGCATATCCTTGTGGTAATTGTTTAACTAAATGATATACTTCAGAACCAGTTTTGTTAAGATTTGGAATTAATTCTATACTAGATGGCATAATTCGAGACAAGAACATAAAAGTATAAGTATAACCTGAATCACATAAAGATAATATCTTATATCCTTCAGGTGTAGGTTTATTTTTTATGCGAAACATATGTGCACTGCGTCCGGAAAATCTTGCATTCATTTCGTCTAATGACAGGTTTGATGCAGACAAATAAAGTTGTTTTAATATATTTTTAATGTGTGATGCAAGTGGTTCTATTTTTTCAAACCAATTCGATGATAATTTGGTACAATCAGAAAGATGTAAAAAACGTTTGATCTAAAAATTTAAATATATGATAAAATTTTTTTAAAAAAAAAAAATAAACAAAAAAAAAAAGACTTATTTTACTTATTGAAATCGGAATAATGACATAGTTTTAGTAATATCATGAGATGGATAATTACTATCTTTTTTCCAATAATCAGTAATTGCTAGAAATTTAAATACTTCCATATATATTACAAATGCTAACCAGATTTTAAATTCATTAAGAGTTAAATTAGTCCAATTTTGACCTTCATCTGCTTGATTTGTATCATGTTTTGCATTATGAACAGCAGCATATATATTGGTATTCATTACAATAGTTTGCAACTGATGTTCTGAAAAAAATAAACTAAAAATTGAATATAGTGCAGATTTTTGAATTAGAATAAATTCCTTAAGAAGAATAGGTAAAACTTCATGTAAAGGATATTAGTGTTGAAAAGGTAAAAAATCATCTGATTTTTTATATATTTCATTGGATTTATTATTATTATTTTTATTTTTTTTATTTATTAATTGTGAATTTTCTTCAATAACTACTATTGGATAATCTAAATTATCAATTTCATCAATATCTTGTTTACGACTAAAAGAACAAAGATAAAATTCTTCTTCAGTTTGTAAAGTTTCATTCATTTTAAATAACTATATTTACGATAATCTATTATTTAATTAATTTATTTAATCAAATTTATTTAATCAAATTTATTTAATCATGTGATTTTATTTAATTTGATTGGTTCTTGTTAATCGAATTTTCTTAAAAAAGTTCGCAGGCAAATTTGCCTGCGCGACAATCTTATATTTTTAAGTTACACAAACTTAAAAACCTGTTATTATATTTAATTTGTAAATCAGTATAAATTTAGTATTACTATAATACAGAAAATTAACTTTAAAAATTTCGCAGGCAAATTTGCCTGCGTGACAATCTAAGGGATATACCTACCTAAATTCAATTTACTTCTAATTTAAGATGATTCTAACCGTAAAGTTAATTCAAAACTATTAATTATATAAGTTATCTCCACTTTAGATGTTCTCTATTAAAGGTGCGATCTGCATTACCCAAATTTGGAGGTCGTCTAAAGCGAAGGTAAATCACGTGACAAAACCTGTAAGTAAAATTTTATTCGTTAATCACTATGCAGATCTTAATAATTTGGCACTGGGGCGTGACCAATCATAGGGAATGACAAATAAATATTTACTACTTAAACTATATAATAAATGATTATTTGTCATACATAATGATTGATCACGCCCAGTGCCAAATAATTAAGATCGGCATAGGATTAACGAATAAAATTTTACTTACAGGTTTTCCCTGTGCAGCTCTCAATAAGTATCTGTGTCAAGATATGATTGCCTTGACTTTCGGTAAGGGTTTCAACTTTCGGTAAGACTTTCGACTTTCGGTAAGGGTTTCGACTTTCGGTAAGGGTTTCGACTTTCGGTAAGGGTTTCGACTTTCGGTAAGGGTTTCGACTTTCGGTAAGACTTTCGACTTTCAGTAAGACCTTCGACTTTCAGTAAGACTTTCGACTTTCGGTAAGAATTTCGACTTTTGGTAGGACTTTCGACTTTCGAATATTTCGGTAAACCAAACCCTGTTCGAAAGTACTTTCGGAGCCATCCTCCGGATGTCAATCAATTTTTATTTATAAAATCGAATTTTTCGCATAAAATGTGATAAATTCGGGTTTATCAGGAGATATAATCAAACTTAGCACATAAAATTAAAGACCAACATACAGGTTCTTACTTGCCATTTTCAATAGTTTATAAATAAACTATTAAATTAATAAAGGCAAAAGTGAATTTTATAGCGAAGATCCCATATATGTAGTGTAACAATGATAAATTATTAATATTTAGCTTACTTCTTTTAACATATCTGATAAATTTTGTTTTCTCTTTAATATCTTAAAATCCACTTTACATGATGGTGTACCTGACTGTGTATATTCATATTCACCATTTTCAATTTTATATTCGTAATTTCGAATTTCATCTAACCAGGTTGCTAAAACTTTATCACCAATATTTTGAATATTAATTAAACTATTAAAAAGAATTCATTCGATTACACTATGATAAGATGTAGCTTTAAATTGAAGTTTCTTAATGCACTCGTTGATATCCTTGTTTCTACTTGTCTATCCTTGTATTGTCTTCTGAGGGTTGCATGTTTCGGCACCAAGCGTAAGATGTGTTATATCGCTTGCAATTTGCACATGTTCCGTATTCATAATCTCTTTTATACCTAAATTCATCAAATACCAACATATACTCATTGTAACTGTATTTTGGGTTAATTCATAAATACTCATATCCTCTAATTGATGCGATTGACCCATTAATTGCTATATGAAATATATAATATATATTGACATACAAATTAAACATACAGATTAAATAAAGTCTGATATATAATAAAATAATATAATATAAACTTTTAAATTATTTCGTGTTCGTGTCAATATTTTAATTTCAACTTTACATGATGATAAACGTAACTGTATATATTCATATTTATTATTGACATATTCATAATTTACATAATGCATTACATCTAAAACGTCGCTAAAACCCATCACCATTCTTTTGAACGTGTTGTATTTAATGTTATACAGTAATTTTCGCGCCTGCATCTTGCGTATTTCTTTTTTTTTTAAAAAAAAAAAGAACATGAAAACCTAAAATTTGTCAAATTGGCCTCGACATAGCGAAGTTCACATTCTGATCTAATGCCTTCACTATATGGAAATATTCGGTTATCCACAGACAAATTTATATGTTTATGATGCAATAATTTTTGTTGTTTCAAAATATTCGTTCCAGTTAAAGTTTGAGATAACATACAGTGAAAGCTCGAGATAACGAATTTCTACATAGCGAATATTTTTTATTTGTCTCTCATTTTGTGTGTAGTACCTATAACTATGAAGAACAATAAATGGGTATGCCTCTTCCACCATCGAGCAACCTACGCAGCCTTCACGAGTATCGGCTGGCTAATATAAGTTTTCTCATTATGATTATACTATTTCTATTCTAATCATTACTAGCAGTCGTCCCGACTAGCCACTTTATCATTGCAACTGTCGTCTGAACAGGTCGCAATTTAAAAAAACTTGCGAAACTGGATAATCTACCCATCCTTGCTCTTTTTAATATAACTGCCGTCCCAGCAAGCCAGTTCACTCAAACAATGCTTAAGCTTCCGGGAAGGGTGGGTGAGAACGATATGACCAGAACGAAAGTCAGGTTCGCAGAAAAGACAAATTTACCCTTCAATACTTTCTCAATATACTACAAATTATCTCATAATTACTCAATTATACTCTCATCAATGACCGCATTACTAATTACTTAAATTACCTCATATTTACTAAATATTAATTTCATTGATCAAACTCTCATCAATTACCACATTATTAATAACTCAAAATACCTCATATTGACATCAATGACCACATTTATTAC